GAAAGCAAAGTGGCTGTCCAACGAGGCCTTAGAAATAGCAGAGAGGAGAAGGGAAACAAAATGCAAGGGAGATAGGGAAACTTACAGAAAATTAAACACAGACTTCCAAAGAATAGCAAAGAGAGACAAGGGGGCCTTCTTAAATGAACAATGCAAAGAAATAGAGGAAAAAAATAGAAAAGGAAAAACCAGAGATCTGGTTTTTCCTGTCGTGATGTATGGAAGTGAGAGCTGGACCATAAAGAAACCTGACCACCAAATAATTGATGCCTTTGAATTGTGGTGCTGAAGGAGGCTCTTGAAAGTCCCCTGGACTGCAAGGAGAACAAACCTATAAATTCTAAAGGAAATCAACCCTGAGTGCTCACTGGAAGGACAGATCCTGAAGCTGAGGCTCCAATACTTTGGCCATCTCATGAGAAGAGAGGATTCCTTGGAAAAGATACTGATGTTGGGAAAGTGTGAAGGCAAGAGGAGAAGGGGACGGCAGAGGATGAGATGGTTGGACAGTGTCATAAAAGCAATCAACATGAATTTGACACAATTCTGGGAGGCAGTGGAAGATAGGAGGGCCTGGTGTGCTCTGGTCCATGGGGTCACGAAGAGTCGGACATGACTGAACAGCAAAAATGAGCTTTTCAGAATGCAACTGGATATCCTGTGGGCTCTTACGACATCCTTGCCATTTGTTTTGATACTATCACTCTTCTTATGGGAGATACTTTAAAATCCTGCTGGAATACAATTTGTTTTCAAATGACTCTACTTAAGACGTGGCTGATATATAAATACAAGGTTGCCTTAGAAGTGGTTCAGTGGAATTGATCATGAATTCTTCCATTCTCAATCTCCTAGAGAGTTGTTGTGAAGTCATCAGAACAGTAGCTGTTGACAAGTTGCACAGATCTGGATGGGCAGTGCTACCCTGTTTCCCGGAAAATAAGATCTAGTCCTAGTATGATTTTTCAGGATGCCTGTAATATAAATAAGCCCCAGTTAAGTGAAACCCCACCCTCCACCATTGTGCAGCATCCAGAAGATGACACGACTGTATTTGAATGAATGTAGATTGTTATACATAGGGGAAATAATAAAACATCCCCTGAAAATAACCCCTAATGCCTTTTTTTGGAACAAAAATTAATATAAGACCCTGTCTTATTTTTGGGGAAATGATAATGTGCTGGACTATATGTAGCTATCAAGCTTTCTGCTGATTAGGTTCTCAAGGCAAGCACATCACCTTTTGGGAGAAACTGCACCCAGCTAATCTGACACTTACCATGACTTATCTATTGTGGTCCTAGAAGCTTCCTAGAAGCAACTCCAGAAGTAGGACTACACAAAGAACACAACAAAGAACATAGGCTGAGAATATCCCATATAAGAATGTCTACATTCATTATTAAAATATATTAATTTTAACATGACTGCCATTAGGGTGCTTTTTAAAGAACCACTGTGATCCATATGGTTACATATTGTAAAGTCAGCTTATACTTGCCTTTGCGTTCAGATGACACTTTAATTCTAGATATACTATAAAGGATGAAAAAAAGCATTTTTGAACTAAGCAATATATTTGCTGAACCATGCAAATACAGTTTTTGATCTGCATATATAAACATTTTCTACTAAAGAATTCCACCAATCTTGATTCACTATTGAAAATATTCTGTTTAAATCATTCACCATGCAATTCCACCTAAGGAAAAGTGCCACTGAATTCAGCAGGATTTACTTCTTACTGTAAACAACTATAGCCTCAGATAGCTTTCATATAAACCATATTTCACAGCTGAATTGCAGTATATCTTGAAAAATAACTTTGTACAGTTGTTGCTCTGTGGTGTCTTTACACATAATTTTACAAAAATGAAGTCACTTTTTAGCTTCCTCACAGGGTTAAAAAATGAAATTCAGCAACACTGGTAAGTGCCAAAAAACAGACATCATTTGAAGTCTCCTGGGCCTCACTACACCTTTCATTAGCACAGGCATGAATGATCATTAGTAACACTCCTGTGTTATGTATCCCTCCTGTCTCCCCTCCACTTATCTATTTCTGTGCCTATATTTTTTCAGGCCGCTGACATGCGCATGTGTCTGTGTCTGCCTTACTCTCTTCAGGTGTCCACCAATGTGTACATGTCTGCCACTTTCTCTGTGTGTTCTTGTTTTTGTTATTACATTCCATCAAGTCACCCTCTCACTTGTGTCGATCCCATGAATGAGAAATCTCCAAAATGTCCTGTCCTTAATAGCCCTACCTAGCTCTTGTAAAATCAAGCCTGTGGATCCCTTTATGGAATCAATCCATCTCATATTTGGTCTTCCTCTCTTCTGCTGCTTTCAACCTTTTCCAGCACTACTGTATTTTCCAGAGAATCCTACGTTCTCATGATGTGCTCAACATAGAACAGCCTCCGTTTCATTATTTTTGCCTCCAGAGATAGTTCAGGCTTGATTTCATCTAAGACTCCCTTGTTCACCTTTCTGACAGTCCAGTCTATCTGCAAAACTCTCCAGCACCTTCTTTCAAATTAATCATTTTTTTCCTGTCAGTTTTCTTCATTGCCCAGGCTTCACACCCATACACAGTACGTAACTGAATACAGCAGTGCTGATGACTGTAAAAATACACTTTATTTTTAGTTCCTTCATTGCTGTCCTTCAGAGTCTCAGTCTTCTTCTAATATCTTGAGTGCAGTCTCCATTTGGATTAATGATACAAAATCTAACAATTTCAATTACTTCACTGTTTAGATTAACTAAAATTCTTCTGCAGTTATGATTTTTCTTCTTCTATGTTCAACTACAGTCCAGCTTTTGCACTGTCTTCCTTCACCTTCATTGGAATTTGTCTGAAATCACTGCTGTTTTCTTCCAGTAGGATAGTGTTATCTATATATCTTTCTTCCAACATTTGCACTCCTCCTTCAACTGAATCTAGTCCAGTTTTCTGTATATGTTCTATGTGCAGTTTAAACAAATAGGGAGATGAAATACATCCTGACACCCTCAATTACCTCCCCAAAGCTGTTTAATATCTACATGAGGCCGCTGGATCAGGTCATCAGGGGATGTGGGGCTTCATGTCATCAGTACGCTGATGACACCCAGCTCTACATCTCCCTTTTCCCAACAACAGTGGATGCCGTTCCGTCCCTTCAGCGCTGTCTGGATGCCGTACTGGGATGGATGCAGGCGAATGGTCTGAGGCTGAACCCGGACAAGACGGAGGTCCTGAGGGTGGGTGGCCCAGACACTGGGGGGTTGGGAAACTCCCTCACTCTCTGGGGTGTGACTCTCACCACGACGACTGAGGTTTGAAGCTTGGGGGTACAACTTGATCCGGCGCTTACCATGGAAACTCAGATATCAGTGGTCCGCACCGCCTACTTCCATCTTTGGCAGATCACCCAGCTGCATCCCTATCTTGATGTTGGGGCCCTCACCACTCTGGTCCATGTGCATGTAGTCTCGGAATTAGACTACTGTAATGCACTCTGTGTGGGGCTACGTTTGAGATTGATGTGGAAGCTTCAAATGGTGCAGAATGCAGCGGCCAGATTTCTTATTAGGGTGAGAAAACATCAACATATCTCCCCCACTCTGGTCCCCTTGCATTGGCTACCTGCTCATTTCTCCATTGGTTTCAAAGTATTAATGAGGACATATAAAGCCCTAAACGGTTTAGGACCTCAGTATCTAGCGGAATGCCTTCTCCCACCTAGATCTACCTGTATCACTCGCTCTAGCCAGGAGGGGTGACTGAGGGGCCTAATGCTGAGGGAGGCCTGAAGAGAAAGAACAAGAAAGCGGGCCTTCTCAGCAGTGGCCCCTCGCCTCTGGAACAATCTCCCCCCAAACAGGCCTTCCCTCCTGTCAATACCTAACTTATTTCACCATCCTCTAAGGTATTAATATTAATATTGTTGTTTTATTTTATTTTAATATTGTTGTTAACTGCCCAGAGTACACTTTGGTCTAAATGGGCGGGATATAAATAACATTAAATAAATAAATAACCCATAGGAAACCATTTTGTTTCTCCATATTCTGCTGTAACAGTAGCTTCTTGTCCACAGTACAGGTTACACATCAGGATAATCAAATGTTGAGGCACAACTATTTCTTTCGGAGCCATCTATATAGCTTCTCGTGATCCACATAGTCAAAGGCTTGGCTGCGGTCTACAAAGCATTGATTGATATTCTTCTGAAACTCTTTGCTGTGCTCAAGTATCCAGCATATATTTGCAATATAATCTTGAGTGCCTCTTCCTTTTCAGAATGCAGCTTGAAAGTCATGTGTTTCTCGCTCCATTTAAGTTTTTGCTGCAACACATTCAGCATCACTTTACTTACATGGGAAATAAACGCAATGGCCCTATTAATGTCTCTGGCCATCTCCATTTCTCTCACTTTTTTGTGCATCTGTCTCAACCTTTCTACCTCCCTCTTTCTGTGTCACTCTGTCACTGACAGTTATACTCTGCTTTCCTATGTTTCTGAACTAAGTCTCTTTCTACTTACTTCATGCTCTCCCCCAAACTCTCTTTCTGGGCCAGAAAGTTCCTTTGCATACCCCTCTGTATCCACGTCTTTCTCTAAATCCATCTCTGATTCAGGATTCCTCCATCTGTCCCCCTCCCCATCTGTACCACATCTCCTGTATCTCAAAACTAATGCAGTTAAAGGGACACTAAGATTAAGTAGTGCTACAGCATGATACTATATTTTCACTGTGATCATTTTACTAGACTGCCCAGCATTAATCTTTTGTTCTCTATCTTCCTCTGCGTTGAAAGGAACTAAGATGTTACACAAGCACATTAGACCAGCACTCCCATGATCCTGCACCCCCACCCCAATATATGGTATATAAACCCTTACCAAATGTACTGAGACATTTATCTGATGAAGCAGCCACATTTGCAAACATAAAAAAAATTAACAAACTTATGTTTACACACCTAAGGGCAAATTACAGTTCCCTTTAAACCACTATAGGAGAGTAAAAAGGAAAAATCCCAAAGCATTCCAATGAAAAGTCTCATACTTTTCTCAACTGTTAAAAAGCACTTCCATCACAAAATAGTGTACATAAATGATATGTGAAGAAATCACAATCTTCTGTAATTGGTTTTGAGATCAACAGATCTATTAATATCAACATAAAATAACGAGCAAAGACACTAACATCAGATTGGTGGAATTCAAAGTAGTAGGATGCATTTAATGCACTGAGATTTGTTAAGCATGAAAGACACGTACAGTATATGAAAAAAACAGTAGACATGAAAATTAGCTACAACATGCAACTGATAGGAGACACAACATACATGAAGAATTGTGTTAGGTTGGTCATAAGGCTTTGGAAGACAAAATAATATATATGGGAGAAAATAGGAAAAAATGAAAGTAAAGCTCTTTTTATTTAGTTGTGTTATTAGGTTAACATGTGATCAACCATTAAGCTTTCATAAAATTAAGCATTCAGAGTTGAACTTTTCTAACCTTGTGTGCCTTCACTGTCTATTTGAAGATAACAGGAGAAGGACTGACAAAACAAACCTATTGTTGTGAGCTTACTTCAATTACACAAAGAAATACAAAAAAGCGAACAGTATAAATTTTTAGTAGTAATTTTGAGGAATCTTTCATTAAAACAGTGGCAATAATTGTTAAGGAAATTTGCAGCATCAAGACTGCAAAAAGGTGAAGTTTTTAACATAAATGGTTAGTGTTCAAACAGTATAATTAGACGTGATAAATAAGTGAATAAAAGGTTGTTTGTGGTAAATATCACAAATTTGAACATGTGTGGCAGATCCATACAGGAAAGAGAAATATGCTGAAGGCAGGATTTAGCATTCTTCTACATCTATAAGGAAGTGAAATAATTATTTGATAAATGTGGTTTAGGAGTCAAAGATTATTAGGGAAGGATACGATCAGTGCCTTGGAATATCACACAACCTTTCACCAATTCTCCCATGATGCAACCAACTGACCAGATATCAACTGAAAGTAAAAGTGAAATGATAAAATTATGGAGTGTCATGAACAAAAGTAGAAACAAAAAACATTTTTTACATTAAAAACACAACAATGCAGAAAATGGAACTGCTACAATGTTTCTGAACAATAGAAACAATAACATTTATTTTGACTACAACGTTTGAAATTTAGACGAAGAAGGACTTGTGTTAAAACAACAACAACATCCTACTATGGCACATCTACCATTTCTTCAAATATGTAATTCAGTCTTATTTTAATAATGCACATTTGTGCTTCCTGAAAGCGCTGTGAAGGATACAGTCTCTTCCTGGAAACAGGACCTTATGGAGGACCATTTCTGCCATTATGCACCCAACAGACCAGATATCCACTATCAAATGTTAGGTGTAATGGGGAAAAAATTAAAGATAATTTAAAATCTATACATACATTTTAATAAGTATTTAACATTGCTCAAGAAAGTAATACACACTAAGAATACTCCGGAATAGTATTTTTTGAGACAGAGGTTACTTTATGCAGTCTTCATTAAAGTATATCCCAGTTCAAAAAAGAGGAGAAAAAATACCACTTTGAGAGTAGACAAATAATTCATAAATCCTTTAAACATTAACAATTAATTATAGCCTCTTGCAACTGATGGAAAGTAATCTGTCACTAACTTTGCACTACAAACTGCCAAGAATTAAATGCAGCTGTTGAAGACCATGTCCGCATACACATACAATTAGGGAGGAGGCTTTCAGAAAAAAAGAACCCCCAGCCCCCCGGTTCAGTGGGAACACCCCAAACTAATTTATGGGAGTGGAAGCTGTAGAAATCACAAGACATGGAGCAGCCCTAGTACCTCCATGCCATTCCCATGCCCCTTCTTCACATTCTTTCTGAAAGTCCCATTCTAGTAAAATCTCTATCCAGGCCACAGACTTAAAACTACATTTTATTCATCACTGGTTTACTACAGGGGTGTGGGTACGGATATACAGTGGTGCCTCGCACAACGGGCGCCTCGTAGAGCGATGAATTCGCTCTACGAGGCCATTTTAGCGATCGCAAATGCGATCGCAAAACGGTGCCCGTATAGGCGGGAAATTGCAGAACGAAGGTCGGTAAGCTGCTCGCTTACCAACCTTCGCTTTGCGACCCACCGATCAGCTGTTCCGCGGCTTCAAAATGGCCGCCGGAACAGCCGAAAGGGGCCGGGGTGCAGCGTTTTCGCGCCCTTGGTAAGCAAGGGGAGCGCGCGAAAACGCTGCGGAAGCCCCGAAATGGCTGCGTGCAACCATTTCGGGGCTTCCGGCAGCGTTTTCACGCGCTCCCCTTGCTTACCAAGGGCGCGAAAACGCTGCGCCCCGGCCCCTTTCCGCTGTTCCGGCGGCCATTTTGGACCCGCCGGACAGCTGATGGCAGCCATTTTGGCGCCCTCGTTGTGCGAGGGGAGGGCGCGAAAATGGCTGCCGGCCCCCTC